CATACTTGGAATCACCACCAACGACAGCATCGCGATCACCATTAACTTTACCGCACACCTCTCATTCGCACGAGAATCATCATCCTCGCAACCATAACCATCATCGTCGCCATCACCAGCACAATGGACAGCAACAACGCCATCGTCGTCAACAACACCATAAACGGCGACAACAGTATGCGCCATGCTTCCACATGTCAGATGCATCCTTCTGGATACCACACCCCACCATGGGGGATGTTTCTGGCACGCGGGCCCCGATATTCCCTCGCTCGGATCTCCCGCCCAAGAAAATATGACCACCACCTCTTCCGAGCAACTTCGACATCCACAACTCGGGCGGCACATCGCCATCGCAATCGCCTTGCGCGCGCCCCGCATCTCAGGGGAGGACGGAGAGGACGAGTGGGGGAAGGAATATGAGGTAGAGGAAGAGGGGGAGGGGGAGGAGGAGGAGGAGGAGGAGGAGGAGGAGGAGGAGGAGGAGGACGGGGAGGAAGGCGGAGCAGTAGTAGCAGCAGTACCTCCGAAGACGAGGTGGTTATTACTCCTCGTTCAAACTGTTGCGCCACCATCCTGCGGCCTCGGCGCGTGACCCTGAACTCTCACGCCCCCCAGGCGCTGCCGCTCCCATGCTCGGATCCTCCACCTGCCCCCCCCCCACACCCTCTCAAGGAATACCTGAAGTCAATCCTTCGACCCTCGATCCTTGGAGTCCCTGGAAATCCTCCGTCCTCCTTTTTCTCCTCCTCCTCCACATTATCTATGCTCTCCAAAAATGGGACAATTATTAAATACTTCCGGTCCAACAGAGACTCTTGGAAGCCCCCCATAGGCGATGCCGAAACGATTGCCCCAGTCTTGAGTAAAAGGTGAGGAAGTATCAAACGGGAGCGACGAGGGAAGACGGAAGGAAAAGGGAGGAGAGAGGAGGGAGGAGGGGGGCAGGAGGAGGGAGGAGACAAGGGGGACGAGAAGGGAAAGGAGGAGGGAGGAGGAGGGAGGAAGAGGGAGGAAAGAGGGACGGGAGAGGGAGGAGGGAGGAGGGAGAAGAGGAGGGGGTGGAGGGAGGAAAAGGGAGGAAGAGAGAGGGGGAAAGAGGGAGGATGAGGAGGAGGAGGAGGAGGCAGAGGAAAAAAGAAAGAGGAGGAGGAGGAAGAGGGAGGAGGTGGAGGAAAAGGAGGAGGAGGAGGAGGCGGAGGAGAAAAAGGAGGAAGAGGAGGATAGGGAGGAAAAGGGGGGAGGGAGGAGGAGAGAGGAAAGAGGGACGGAGGAGGGAGGAGGGAGGAGGGAGACGAGGAGTGGGTGGAGGAAGGAAGAGGGAGGAAGAGGAGGGAGGGGGGAGGAGGGAGGAGGAGGATCGAGGAGAAGGAGGAGGAAGAGGAGGAGGACGAGGAGGAGGAGGAGGAGAAAAGGAGGCCAGTCCAGCGTAAAACGGGAGGAAGTCTCGGGCGGGAGCGTTGGTTTGTCGGGACGGGGGGCTGTCGGCGGCGAGCAAGAGCACCGCCTTGAGTAAAAAAGGGGAGAGTTCTCGAGCGGGAGCGTTGTTGTTGCTGGGGGGCGGCGCCGATGAGAGGAAGAATAGCGCGCCTGTCCAAGGTAAAACAAGAGGAAGTCTCGAGCGAAAGCGCTGGTTTTGTTGAGACGGCCGCTGTCGGCGACAAGCAAGAGCACCGGCCCTGAGTAAAAAAGGAGGAAGTCTCGAACGGGAGCTTTGTTGTTGTTCGGGGGCTGGTATTGGCGGTCCCCCAAAACGCTTGAGAGTGAACCTCATTTTCAAGGAAAATGAAGCCGGCGCCTCGGCGAGAGCGCCAGGGCGCCTGTAAGGGGTCCAACAATACTTGTTGTTAATTAATATTCATCATCATCATCATCATCATCATCATCATCATCATCATCATCATCATCATCATCATCATCATCATCATCATCATCATCTTCATCAGCAGCAGCAGCAGCAGCAACAGCATCCGCATCTGCATCCTCATCCTCATCAGCAGCAGCAGCAACATCCTCATTATCATCTCCCTCACCAGGAACTGCCGACCCTCCAGCGTGTGTGAAACGCTGTCGTCGTCGTTGTCGTCGTCGTCGCCTGTTACCAAGAAATTGAAGAATATAGTTAAATCGATTCCCTTCTTCTCAGTTTCCCTTCCTTAACGTGGGGGGGGGGTAGAGAGGGGGGGGGGAGGAGTGAGGGGGCAAGGAGGGGGGTAAAGGGGGGGTCCCAAATCAGAGTGCCGCCGCCCCCAGGGGGTCCTGGTGGGTCCTGAGGGGTGGTCCCACATGCGGACAGGGGGGACAGGAGGGGTTCCCCCTGTGGGGGGGGGGGCCCCGGGGGGCCGGCCGTGATCCTGGCTCTGGCCCTGGCCCCGGCCCCCGGCCGCCCTCTGCCCCTGGCCCCGGCCCCAGCTGGGGCCGTGGCCCCAGCCGTGGCCGTAGCCACGGCCCCCGGTGTAGCTCCGGCCGTGGCCGTAGCACCGAGGCCCCGGGAGGGGACCCCGGGGTCTCGGGGGAGGTCCCGTCTTCAGGGTCGGCGGCGCTGGCCGTAAGGCCTTCACAGTCATCATGCTCAGAGTCATCAGCATCATCATCCTCAACATCATGCTGTTCCTCCTCGTCCTTGTCATCGTTCTGGTCATCGCCCTCATCCTCCTCCTCCTTGCCCTCCTCCGCTTCCTCCTCCTCCTCCTCCTCCACGTATCCTTATGATCAGTCTCGTCCTCCTGCCCAGCATCTGAGCCGCCCCCCTCTCTCTCTCACACACACACACACACCAGGGGATACAGCGATATGTGAGTCGACTTCCTAGTGAATGGTATGCTATAGCACGCGATCCCCGCAGTCCACGAGGAACCCTGGGTCCGGTTCAATACCATCACGGGGCCAAAAGGGGATAGCGTCTACAAAGTGGGCCAGAGGGGGTCGGCGCTTCACATTAAAGCTCCACTCACTACCGTATAAACTCGCTGCAGCCTTGTCCATTCAACCATTCGTCTTCCAAGCCCCTTGATATATTCGGCAGCCGTCCGTCCAGCGGAGTTCTAAGCAAATCACATTGTCTTCCCAAGTTCTTGCAGACTATCTTGGTCTGTGCCTTTGGAACCAGGTTTGTCTGAACACACATAAGCGCTTACATGTCGGTTCTACTTCATGCCTTGTAGGCCCTCCCGTCCGTCCAAGAGTTTCTCCTCAGGGGCGCCATCCAGTGAACAAGGACGAACGATATGCCTGTTCAAAGTCGTTTCAGCCATGCCATGTTGCCCGTTCTACCACTATTATTGAATCCATCCTGTCTACTCGACATCTTTTCCAAAAGTGTGATTTCAAGTCGTGACCAGTGCCGTCTCTGCGCCACCCATGAAGCGCACAGGGAAAATGCACAGGTCACCAAATCCGCCGACCGCAGATTGCTGGGGATGCAAGAGGCGTGTGAGATGATTGGCTGCCTCCTCCCCCTTTCGCCTTCCCCTGGGATCTGAAATCCCGATTCGAGGGAGGGGTGGCCGGGGGGGCCCAGGGGGGCCTGCCCAGGGGGGGGCCCAGGGGAGGGGGGGGGGGGGCAAGCCAGGTGCGCTCGCGTCATATCGTCATATCTGACATCCTACCCCTCCCTCCCATCCCTTACCATGGCGCAGATCCCCTCTCTACTCGCACAGTCGGATGTCGAGCAGGGCAATGATCCCGAAAGGATACGCGATGCATTGTAGAGCACGGCATGGCATGGCGTAGAAGAGCACCGCAAAGCGTAGTATCAATCTAGCATTGCATTGCATGCCGTGGCATGGCACGGGAAATGACGCCAGCGCTGCAGCGGGAGCACGAGTCGAAACGAGCGGAAGCATGGAAATGAGGCCAACGCTGCAGCGGGAGCACGATTCGGAACGAGCGGAAGCACGAAAATGAGGCAAGCGCTGCAGCGGGAGCACGATTCGGAACGCGCGGGGCCCGAAAATGAGGCTGGCGCCTCAGCGAGAGCAGCATTTTGAAAAACATGCAGGCGAAAACCCAACTCCGGGGAAACCTGTGTGTAAAAAAACAATGCGTGGGGGGGGCGGTCGAGCACTTTTAAACCGTCATCAGGGGAAGAGGGAGAGTAGTATGTATATATATATATATAATAATGATGATAATAATAATAGTAGTAGTAGTAGTAATCATAATATTAAAATAATAAAAAAGTAATAATGATAATGATAATGATGATGATAGTAATAACAATAATAATAATAGTAGTAGTAGTAGTAATAATAATAATTGTGGAGGACGAGCTCGCCAATCCACCCCGGGGCCCCTTGAGCCTCCACATCTTCGCTTCGTTACCTTTAGGATGCCCATGATGCTACCTAAAGTAGCTCAAGCATGGCACCAACACGCCGATGGCCTCAAGACTGTCCAAGAGGCCTCAAAGACGCCCCAAGATGGCTCCAAAACGACCCCCGAGAGGGCCCCAAAAAGCAAGAATCGTCTAAACCCGTAGGGGAAACTGATATTAGAACACATTCGCATTTTTGATCTCAACAGCGTCCCAGACGTTCCACTTGACCCCGAACATCCCTCCAAGACGGGCCAAGAAGCCCCCAAGAGGGCCCCAAGACGGCCGAATATGGTCTCAAGACAGCCCAAGACGCGCCGCCCAAGAGAGCCCCAACAGGGCCCCAAGAGGGGCCCAAGAGAAGCAACTCGAACTGACATTCCGAGCCCTTCGCCCCAAGAGGACCCCCAAGACCGCCAGCAGGCGCCCAAGAGGCTCCCAAGGGGCCCGAAGAGGCCACCACAAGGCCCAAAAGCGGCCCCCAGAGGGTCCCCAGGAAACCACAACAGGCATCACCTGCGGACTTCATCCCTCTCCTGGGGGCCGGCGGAATGGCGTAAGCCTCGTGAATCAGTCAAAAGAGCGGAGAGGGAACGCACAAGGAACGCATAGCGAGAACGGAACGCAGCAGCAGTGGTGGCCGATGTAGTAGCAGAGCCAGAACTTGTGCTGGATACCTTTCTGATTATCCCAGACCGAGCAAAGTAGTTACGATCAAAAATCTGGAGATCGTGCTCGCACTGGCTACGTACATGGCACGGCTCGTCTTGGCGAGCAGCTGGACACTGTGGCTGGGCACGGGCCACGGAAAAAACTGCGGAGCCCTGGAGGCACAAGGGGCGCCCAGGCCGGGGGAGAACTCGAGGAAGCGGCCAGTGAAGGGCCACAAGGACTTGGCCCTCACCGAGCCCATGACCGCCGCAGCACAGATCCCCTCGCCACATGAGGATGAACAAATCACGCGGGCGAGTCGAGATGCATTGCCCTGTGGGGCAACGAGAGAGGGGTGGGGGCTGGCCCAGGGAGGAAGCAATGACCCGGGATCGACGATACATCGCCGATTGATCGGCAATAGACCCCGAAGGGGAGCCCCACAAATTCCGAGGCAGATCGGAGCACCCAGGCCCCGATCGGCGAGAAGTGGTGAGGTGACAGACCGTGCGATGTCCTTGGAACCCCGAAACACCGCACCGCACGGTCCGTCACCGACGGTGTTGGGACCTCGGAGGCCCCAGTCGCCCGAGACATCCTCGGAGAACGACCCGAGACCCAAAACCGTTTGGTCACCCCGAGTCCCCACTGACCCACCACACCGTGTGCTCACCGCACCCCCTGGGGCCACCGATCGGTGCTTCCCGCCCCCCCCACCCCGCGCCAGTCCGCACCCCCGTGGCGTTGCCCCTGACGCCCATAACAAGGTATTGCAGAGCCGCGGGGGTTGAGCAGGGACCCACCGTCCGGGCATTCCTACAGGCCTACCATGACATGGTCGTAGAATCCAGCAATGTTCTACGAGCAAAAACGATGTTCTTGGAACGTAAGCCCGATGTGTTGAAACAAGAAAGACTCAGCCAGAAATGTTCTAAGAGCTTCGCCACTGCTTGAGGGGGGGGCTCCCGAACAAAGGCCGCCGCACTGGAAGTGAGAGTGGAAGGATGGACCGAAGGCGACGTGCCGTCAAGACGCCTCAACAAAGACGCCTCAGTGAGGGCCACGGGGCTCTGGCGCTCGGGCCGCGCCCTAGGTCTGGGGTCGGAGAAGCGGTTCGCGGCCGAAACTTGCAGCGGGCTAGGAAAGCCCCTCCATTCCTTATCCCCTGACACCAGGTGTCGTGATTGACGTGGGCCCACAGCCAGAAGCCTGGACCCCTTGCTGGGGGCCGCCTCTTCATCCCGAGACGTTTGCTGACGGCCCCGAGGCCCAACAGAGGGGCACTCAGACGCCGAAAGCACGAACGAACTTCGCCTTGAGCTTATTCCATACGCTGGAGGTCTGGGATCTGGCGCTCGCCATCCACGACATCATCATCGTCACAATCAGCATCACCACAAACATAATCAACAACAACATAATCATCAGCAGCACTGTCAGCATCATCCGCAAGGTCATCAGCAGCGTCACCATCATAATGATCGTCGTCATCCTCATCAGCACCACCCGAATAAGCATCACCATCGTAATGATAAGCATCAGCATTATCATCATCATCATCAACATCATAATCAGCATCAGCATCAGCATCATCATCATCATCAGCAGTATCATCATCATCATCATCATCATCATCATCTTCATCATCATCATCATCAGCATCATCGTCATCGGCATCGTCGTCGTCAGCATCATAAGCATCATCATCATCAGCAGCATCATCATCAGCATCAACATCATCAACATCATCATCATCATCATCATCATCATCATCATCATCATCATCATCATCATCATCGTCATCATCATCATCATCGTCGCCGCTGTCGATATCATCACATTTAACATTGTAACCAGCATGGTCATCAACAGCTCCATCATAGTCATCAACATTATCGTCGTCGTCAGCATTAGCATCGCCATCACCATGGTCACCATCAGCATCAGCATCACCGTCATCATCAACATCGTCATTACCAGCAGCATTTTTCTCGCCCTCATCTGCCCTCATCCGCATCCTCATCCTCATCATTCCAGCTCCTCCCTGCCTCCCTCGCCTCGACCTCCGCGCCGTCCTTCGGGGAAGGGAGAGCCCGCCGCGGGAAGGGGCGGGCTCCTCTAGAGAACTCCTAGATGGGGTCGGAATAGATGGGGTCGGAAGACTGCGCCGCCTCGCCGATACATCGGCGATGCGTCGGCGATGTATCGCGGATGCGCCGGCGATGAAGCGTCGACGTCGGCGATTTATCGTCGACGTCGGCGTGGAGAAAATCGGGCTCCGCATCGAGCCGCGTCGTCGATGCGGTGCGATTTTCCGACCCCATCTACTCCGACTCTATTTGGGGGGCCTAGATCCTCACTACCTGGGCTACCACATTGGTCAAACAATACTCAAAAAACAGTCCCCAGACTATCTTTTACTATTCTTGAGAATCTTCCACCTGTAGAGGGACAGGCCCGACTTAATGGAAGGGGCGGGCTCCTCACTGCCTGGGCCCCCTCGGCTCAGAGAAGGCGACCGACTTCTTCGGAGACAGGGCCTCGGAGCGCTCGCCGCCCGCGACGCCGTGGGCGGCCTTGAGGGGCAACGCTAGGGGGAGACCAGCTCAAGGGGGGAGGGGGGGGAGGGGGGACCATCACCGGGCTAAGGGAGAGGCTAGGGGTTGGCCGACCCGACCCTAACCCGAAACCTCGTGGCACTGGGCCACCTGATGTGCTCCACAGCGGCCTCGGCCGCTGAGACGGCAGTGCGCTGCCGGCGCTGAATGCGGTGCTGGGGCCTGGCGTGGCAGTGCGCACTGGGCCGCAGCAGCACCGAGAGGGGGGTTGAGCCACGGTCGGGGCGTGCAGGCAAGGCCCCCGTGGGATCCCACCTGCATGACGGTACCCCAAGGCTCGGGTACAAGGCTGGCTGCGTGACCAGCACCGTCAAGACAGGAGCGGAGACGAAGTGTGCGGCGCTCTTTCCCTCTGAGGCGGGATGCCTGGCACGCGTGCAAAACACCCACGCAAGCGCACACATACAACACAAGATCGCCAACAAATCACACTGCAGTGAAAAGGACGACATGACTCGACAAGCTGTCGTTTCCCCTAAGCTCGGGACAAAGGCAGGCTGCGTAACCTACACCGCCAGGGACACGAGATCAAAACCCCAGATCGAACCTGCAACGCGAAATGGCGTGTCAGCGGCCACTGCCACAAGAAAATGGGTGGGCGCTCCTTCCTCCTGAAGCGGGGCGCCTGGCACGCGTGCGGGGAGCGCGCACACACATACGCACAAGTACACAAAGAGTGAGGCGACGCCAAGGCGACTCGGCTCTGCCCATCCCTGGTGTAGAGAACGCCAGGACGATGGGCAGTTCTCATCCCTGGTGTGGGCCTGTCTTGATCTGCCTCGCTGGGCATTTGCTGCGCAGCAGCGTCGGCTCTTCGATAAACTTACTCGAGTGGCCCTGGAGGCGGAAAAACGGGGGCGGAATCCTTTCCACTCCTCGGGTGTCTCAGCTCCAGAGCGCGGGCTAGCTGGTTTCTTGAATTGTTCGACGCAAGTTCCCGCGGACACTCTGAAATAAACGGCCGCGGGTGCCTGTTTCTGATTATGACCCGCAGGAGCCACACAAAATCATAGTGCTAGAATTGTTCACGTATTCAAAAATCAAAAGCCGATGGCCCCTGGGCCTTTGCGCAAGCGAGGCTAGGCCCGCGCAAAATCCAGGACATTCGTCATCCAAGCGCTTGAGGTACGGGTCCTGGGTCTTGGCCCTGACTCGGCATAGGGTGCAAATAAACGCGCCACGAATCGATTCCCAGCGGTGGAGCTCGCCCACGGGCCCCGGGGGCTCGGAGGCGCAGGGGCGGGGAGGCCTCGAAGCAGGGATGGCCCCGGGGCCCCAGGCGCATTCAGCCGAGGCAGCTCCGACGGGCGGGTTCTTATTGGCAGGGCGGCTCAAGGATTTCTCGCCCGCTTTCGTGGCCAGCGCTGGCCACTTGGGGAGGACCCTGGCAACGTGCAACAGAAACAGTCGCAGCATGCTTTGGTCGTAACTGCTCTGGTCTAGCTCCGACTGGGATGGTTGGCAGAGGGTTGCTGCGGCTCGCTCAGCTGCATTGTCCGCTGCGTCGTTACCTAGAGCATGGTTATAGTCATCAGTACTGTCAAAATCCTGGGTCAGATTCTGGTGGGCTTTCACCTTCACGAGACAAGTAGACGGCGGCGCGACAGCTTTGCCCGCCAGAACCTTGAACCCAGCGTGTTGGTTCTTCCTGGAGTACCCAGGATACTGAAAGAGGTCAATGGCACCTTTTGTAATCTGTGTGGACCTGGGTAACTAAGGGCGAGATGGCGCACGCAGCTATGATTGCAAGCACCTCCGCCACACCCGAGCTTTGGGTGTAAAAGGTTGCCCACCTGGCCTGACAAAATCGCGAAGGGCCCCTCGTTTCGCATGCTGACAACGGCCCAGCCGGCCGATTGGAAAGCTGAGCTGGATGTCTCGAACTGTCGCAGTTGCCGTCAACGTAAACAGGTCCTGAGAAAGTTACCTCCAGGCTAACGTCGGGGCCAGCACGCCAAAACTGGCAATTCGTCAGCCCTGTTCCGCCCGGGGGGCAAACTTAAAAAAATCAGGCCTGGTCTGGAAACCGAATTTCAGGAGCGGGTCTTGTCCTTGAAGGATGGGATCCTGCTCCCCTGGCGATAGTGCTCTATCTCGCTCCTCCTGCGAGATGGGGCACTGAAACAAGCGGTGATGCAATGAGTCATTGGGGGGCACCACATTCACACTGAGTGTCTATATCATATCCTGCATCTTTGGCCCTGGACTTTGTCCAGGTGCATTGCGAAAGGAAAATTAGAAGACTGCCCCGCCCCTGCTTGGTTAAATTGGGGCTGGCGGGGACTCCCGTGGCAACTTGGGCGCCCGCCTGGGAGCCTGCGTGACCTAGCTTGCTAGCAGCTCGCTCTCTGAGCTGCTGCTGCCAGGCTTGCTGCGTATTTTGTTGCACAAAAGCTGGCGAGAAGCACGTTAGAGGATATTGCTGCCCCCCCGAAGCTTGAAAGACAAAGGGGGGTACCAGGGTCCAGCCTACGCGATGCAAGGAAATCATTAGAGCGGCGAAGGGGCCTCGAACGCTGCTCCAGCGCGAAGGAGCCTGGCCCATAAGGGCCCCCCCCCTTCGCGCGGAGGGAGGGCACGGGCGCAAAGCCTTGGGCTGGACTGGCGGTGGCCGGCCACACTATTAAATGCCAAAATAGAGCGGGCCCTAGGGCAAGTTTCTACGTGGGGTCACCGATCAGAAGGAGGCCCAGGCATCTGCTTCTCGTGGCACATTTGGGTCCTGCTATGTTTTAGATACTGCTGCTGAGCCGCGGGCAGCTGGCTGTCGTTGAGGCCCGTGACCTCGCGGCCGAAAGAGGCTGCAGCAAAAATGTCAGTGTTGTAGATATTGCGCGCATCCCCATCCAGCTCTCCCGATGGCTCCAAGTCTCCTCATCCTCTTCTTGAGTATGTCCATCCTGGCGTTCGCAACTCTATCCTTTCTCCGCCTGCGCTGGGGGGCTCCTGCCGCGGTCTCGCAACCGAGGTTGGGTCCCGAAATGTCCGTTGTGCTGCCTGCTCGAGCTTGCAGGTCTGCGCTGCACTTGGCGGCGCACTTGGTCTGAAGAAGCGAAGAGCTGAGTCTTGGCGGGGGCGATCTTGCTGTCATGACCGGTCTGGGTGCTATCTCGCAAGCCCTGGGTGCCGCAGTTCAGGCGGATGGCGATGCGGCAGATCTTGTAATCATTGTTCTTTAAGAGGATATCGTCTATGAACATGTAGATGTCTACATGGGAGTCCTTCTGGGTCTAGGAGTCCAGGGGGTCTATCGTGTACATCTGTATGAGGTATGTAGCAAGCGCGCCCCCCGCAGCTATGCCATGTACTGTGCTACCCACCGACATCGCCAGGTCCTGGAGTCCCACATATCTGGGGCCCGCGTAAATCCCCAGGATGATCCTGAGCAGGGTGGCGGGAAAACCACTGCGAAGGGCTTGGGTAGCAAGCTCTCTGCGGTTGAACTGTTCGTAGTAGTTGCTGAGGTCGTGGAGAACCATAGCTGAATGTAGTTGTTCGTTACGCTTGGAGTAGCACTCGCAACCACGGCTCTGCTTGAAAACTAGCTCCATTATGGAATGCCCTGCTTGGTGAGCGAGGAACGGGCGCCTGCGATTCCTTCCCCATTCTCGCGCTGCTGACTGTCTTACCCTAGCCCAAGCTCGATACAGGCCTGACATCACTCCGATCGATCTCATTGCTGGTTTCGTTGCCTGCGGATATTGCTGCCTGTGCTCCATAGCAAGAACTGAGATTATTGCCTGTATCTGCGGGGGCATGAAACCTAGGAGCAACAGCTGCGCGACAATGTCTGCCTGCTGCTCGGTGATGAGCGCGGGATGCCTCGGGGGGACTCCGTCCCACGTTGAGGCTGTCGTCACTGAAAAGCTCCTAGCTGCTTCCTGAAGGGTCCTGCCGCCCATCGGTCCCAGGGCTATATTGTCACCGATGTTCCTTGGAACTGGATTATCTTGTGGCTTGTCCGAGGTGCCCCAGACACTGGCAAATCGGTCGGCTCCCCCTTCTAGAATGTTGCTTGGGCGACCTGACCATCGGCCCTTGACGAGGGTTGATGCAGGCTTCCAGGCTCCCAGGCCCCTCGTCCATCTGCGGGCCCCGCCGACTCCTCCCTGGAGGGAACGTTGGGCCCGCGAGGCCCAGGCTTTGGCCGATTCGGAGTGTTGCTGTTTCCGTTCGCTGCCCATGGCTCGGTCCAGGCCCTGAAGTATACCATGCATCCCCCGGTCGGATGTGCCCGCGGGTAGCACTCCAGCGGCTGCGTCTGCAAGGGTGGGGCTCTGCTATCTGCAATGCTGTCGCCAACAGCTGCTTCAGAGATTCGGCCGATGCAAACTCCTCTGACGAGTCCTGCAGGCCCGCCACCAAATACTCTAGCTGGTTAGCGCCCGCCTTCGAAACAACGAAATTGATGTCGACGAGACGGTTTCGAAGCCATCGAAGTGGGGCCTCCAGAGCCTTCCAACCAACACGAACTTTAGTATCACGCCGTTAGGCTCGCACCCATGTGGCCACTGGGGGGCTCGCACGTGGGGCCACAGAGTGTCTAAGAAGGGCGTCCGCGAGGCCGCTGCCGGACTGCTCGAGGTCCTTAACCACTGTGAAGTCGCAATAATCCAAGATGGCCTGGCGCTGTGGAGTTCCGAGGGGCGTAGCAGCATCATGTAGCACAGAATTGGCATAGCTAATCGCACTTTCGCTTTGGGTCCACCTGGTTGGCCTCGTAGACGGGCCGAACGGCTTGACTGTAGGAAGTCGCTGGGGCATCTTCAGGACTGGCACAAGAAAACGATCGTCGCCTTGAAAGTCAAGACAAACTTCCCTGTGAGGAGACAGCGGGCACCTGGTCCAAGTCTGAACGTTCTCCGCCCACTCGCCCAGGGTTTCGCTGATCAAGAAATAATCCAAAACGTTGCTCGATTTGGCTTTCCGACACGTAGGTTCCACTGGGGCCGCAATCT